ATAAGTGGGTTACAGCCAATGCACGCCACTTAGCAGCATGTTGTATTTTGGCCAATTCAGGGTAAGATTAATTGTTCCAAATGGGGCTATATATGGTATACCCCATAACCTGCTGTAATTGTTTACCATAACAAAACTTTTATGTATAAGCCAGTATGTCTGGTACAACCTAATGGGTTTAGAAAAAGCTGAGATTCCAGTACTTCTGAACAAGAGCTAGCTCTACAAAAGTGAAGCATTACAGACAAAGTGGAGTCTCTGATTTCCCAGTTTGGGAATCTGAGACCAGACCTCCCACAAGGTGTTGAAGCTAGGAGGCCAGGTAGTACAGCCATGAGTTTGGGAATGCTAAGCCTCCCCTATCCTTTGTCTGCTGTAGTTGATCCAGTCTGATCCTGGATGGACCACCCTTCCATAGTAGAGAGTGGAATATAGAGTTAACTATCCTAAAGATTTTGAGTGGGATAAACACTGGTATGTTATGGAGAAAGTACAACAGTTGGAGCATCATAATCATCTTGACTAAGATTGCCCTACCTGCCATGGACAGCCATAATTTGGATCATATTTTCAACCTATCTCTAAATCTCAACAGTAAAGGTAAAATGTTTAATCAGCAGTCTTTTCGATTGGATGAAATTACAATCCCCAGGTATTTCAATGATGCTACAACTGGGACCGGGCAAAAAGATGCTAGCCGAGGGTTAAGCCCTGGGTCCAACTGTAGCAGAGTGGACGTAGTCCAAATAATTGTGAGACCAAAGTATTTACGTAATTCTGATATGGTGGGCATAACGGCTCTCAAGGATTAATGAGAATCACCCAGAAGTAGAAGCATGTCATTGACGTACAGCATGATTTTCTCATGCTGTACGCCATACCTAAAGGCCTCAATAGCATCGTTAGCCCGTATAAGGGCTGCTAAAGGCTTGATGACTATGGCAAACAGTAAAGGGGATGGGGCACCCTTGCCTAGTACCTCTGCCCAGCTCAAAGGATGATGATATCCTGCCACTTTCCTTTATATTCAATTGAGGATGGTAATATAATAGTTGAACCCAAGAGATAAAAGTTTCCCCAAAACCAAATTTAGCCAGGACAGCCAACAAATATTGCCATTCAATGCTGTCAAAGGCTTTATTAGTGACTAAAGACAGTAAAATTCTGGCACCCTCATTATCAGCTTGAGTCTGCATGTTAATAATTAGATGTCTAAGGTTTACAGCTGTGGATTTATTTGACATAAAGCCCACCTGGTCAGGATGAATTATACTAGAAATGACCTTATTTAGTCTCCTAGCTAATATCTTAGCCAATATTTTAATGTCAGTGTGACATAAATGTGACATGAATGTACAGATTTGAGTAGATAAGATGTGACCTGTAGCAATATGTAATCATAAATGTAGTTGCATGCCTTGTCATTAAAGAAATATTCAGTCAGAGGTACTCAGACACAGATGGTCACCAATTAACATCTGAAAAGACTTCCAGCTTCCTCTGGATGTGACACCTAAGTGCCAATAAGATTTGTCTATAATCAGACTTTGCCACTTTCCGGAAGTAAAAGAGGGAATGGCTGGAGACAGGTTGGCTTCATGACAGCAGGAGACCAGAGCTTTAGAGTATATACATACATCAAAGGAAATGTTTCATCTCTCATAAAAGCTAAAATATTAGTTGCAGAGAGATGAAAATCCTTCTTTCTGATTGGACACTCTGTGGGTCACATCGACATATACAAACCATATTTGTGGATTAGGTAGAATGCCAGGAAAATGCAGGAAATGGTTAGGTGGCGCTGGATTGCGAAATCCGAACAGTGATTGGTACTGTCGCGATCGGACTGATGCGCTGGTGTCGGAAATCCAATCCCCGACTTGGTGATTCAAGCCGGTCTTGGTCCTATTGACCTTGGGCAGTTCGGTACCCAGAACATCCTGTGGGCGGGTGCAGGAACACCCCTCAGGGTCAATTGGCCAAGAACTAATGTCCCGCCTACGTCCATATCCCTATAAATTGAGTACCCGGACATTGGGACATGGTAATTCGTATGGAGCTGGTTCCATCGATCAACAGATTGCTGATTCTCCCTGACTTGCTCCAGTCGCAGGCTAGATCTTGGTAAAAGTTTTATCTCTGTTTTATTCCCTTTTATTTTATAGTGAATAGTAATTTATGTGTCTTCTCATATTTTTTGTATTTCTGTAACTTTTTATATTTGGTACATATTTTATGCACTGCCCACTTTCGGGATATTAAATCTTAGAATTAATAAGTGACTTCTGTGTATTTAAGTGGGCTCATATCTTAGATTAGATTGTATTGTATTTTAGTGCCTTGATACACTCGGTCAAGCTCATTGCCAATATGTATGCAATTGCACTGCGTGTTGGCAGATTGCGTGCAGATTGTAAAGGTAACAGATCTGCCAGATGGAGATCTGTGTGTGTGGGGTGTCCCAGCAGACCGCTCTGCGGATAAACTGTTGGGTGGTGGCAGGCTACCTTTTGTGGTGTGTCTGGTGTGGGGGTGTGTGGACAGTGGAAGAGTGATTAACACCGGGGTTCTAGCTGTAGGATAGCTGGAGATATCCTAGAAGGGTGTGTGATTGCTAAGCTGTTCCTCAACTCTAATCAGTGCACCAGATTGTATATAAGATTTGTATCAGCCAGTGTGTGGTCAGCCACCTGGATTGGAGTGGAGTCTCCCCCCGGTGGTGGCCAAGAGGTAGTGCGGGCTGTGAAAGTATATCACAGCGGGTCTTATATACGGTTTTTTATATATTCAAAGTTGAGTCCCTTTTATTCCCTCTTACCCCAAGTCATGGCCACACGTGCGTGCCTCGGTTAGCTAGTTGCTGTGGGCGTGGCGTGTGGGGGACCCGTGACAGTCGGATTGAATCTCAAGCGTAGTTTAAATAATAATTTAAAGCAAATTGGCATTATAAGTGACTATCAAGTATTCTATAAATTACTTATACTCATACTTTCTTTTTTCCCTGGACAATATATGATTTATCTATTTGTTTTTGGATATATCAGAATGTTTTTTTTTTTCCTTGTTTTTTGCAATTTTAAAAAAATGTAATAAGATTGCTGGGTGGTGCCGACAGGGACATGGCTTGAACTTTGGCCAGTTCAGTGGGAATTGGCCAAAATTCAAGCCTTGTGTGGCAAACTTAAGAACACCTCTCTTATCTACCCAGTGCCGCTTGTTGGTTTTTGAACATTTTCGAAATGTTACTGTAAGCAGACCATGTACTGTATATGTAAAAAACATTTGCATATAATATATTCCTTGTTTTATTTAGATTTAGCTCACTAATGAAAAGTCTGCCAACTAATTGTCTGTTTTTTTTATGGGCCATATATATTAATTATACATGTAGGTCATTTCGTTTTAAGCACCTTGTCTGTACAGTGAATAAATCCATCCAAATTAGGCTTATCTCATAGCTGCGGTCCCCCCATGCCCCTTATTAATGTAATTAGCTTCCTCAGCAATCTTTGCATTTCTAGAGGACTGACCCTTTAAGGTTTTAGCCCTATTTAAAAAATAAATGACCTTCACAGCAGCCGCAGATCTATGTAAAGCTACTTTCCTTTGTGTCACATTAGAAAGCAGTGTATGTGAATTTTCCTCCATCTATTTATCTGAGTTGCCCCAAATGATTGCACTTTCATTTACAGCAATATTTTAGTTCACTCCAAAACACAGCAAACTCCTCTCTTTATTTCAGAATTAGAGATGGATGCTTGAACACGAGTCTTTGGCGTGAAATGCAAGCTGCCGACACAGCCAAGTGTTCCTAGGACAAAGCCAAACAAAGAGGCAATCAGGAAGATAAAGGATCATTTAGATACTGGTTGGCTCGCCAGAGAAATTCATCTAAAGCTGAAAATATGACACAAAATAAACTGGAATGAAAAGCAGGTGCTTTATTATAGCCAAGGCAGCGTTGTGAGAATCGGCATGTCGCCATTGTTTTCAAAAGGAAACACAGTCAAAATTGTTTTTTTTTTTTGTTGCAATCAGTTAAACCAGCCACTGCCTATGTGCAAATGTGTCACTTTTTTTGGAGAGGCGTTGGGTATCATCAGGGGTCTTTGTGTTTTCAGCATGTTTCAGGAACTGCGCTAGCATGATGAGTGAGACCACACTTTAGGAGCCAATAATTTTTTCTCCACATGGCTTTAAAGAGGTTCGAACGCAAAAGGTTTTTTACCTTAAAGTGGAACATCACTGTATCTGAGCACCGCAAAAACACTGTTTAATTAATTTTTAATATTCAAAGCAAGCTCCTCCATCCATGCATGTCTCCATGCTTTATTTTGCTAGGAGATCCCTTAGAACCCCTCCCCCCCTAGCATTTCTGGCCATGGCCAACTTGAGTAAGGGCAGATTATACATGTAGCATTTACTTCCTGGAATCCATCTGCTCTTAGCTCAGACATGCAGACAGGAGAGTGTGCTTAGCTAAGAAAGCCCCTCCTGAAGACTCATGGGATGTATGCCATTATTTTCCTAGGCATGGAAACCAGGAAGAAATGTAAAAAAACAGTTTAAAACAAGTAATTACGATATACTTTTCTAGCTATTTACTAATACTAGCAGCATAAGGATTCAAAATAGACAATTTTGACTGAGAGAGTGAAGTTCCACTTTAATGCATTCTCTGCAAAAAGATAAAAAACACCTCAGTACCTGTTCTAGTCCCCCCATCCCTTAACACTGCAGCATCACTCAACTTTCTTCTTGGTCTCACAGGAGACTTTGAAAGCAGTGGAAGCCATAGGCTTTTACTCCTGTCCAGGGGCGGACTGACAACTCATGGGGCCCCCGGGCAATAGGAGATCATGGGGCCCTGTGTCCTTGTCCAAACTCAAAAAAGCCTATGAAAAAGGTACCAGGGGCATCTCATGGGGCCCCCTACTGACTCCGGGCCTTTGGGCAGTACCCGAGTTTCCAAATGGTCAGTCCGCTCCTGCTCCTGTCAGTGCAACTCCTGTCAGGAAGGAACAGGGAGCTGTGTGTCTATGGACTCATACAGCCTGGATCCAGAGCGCATATGCACGGATGCCCTCAGAGGACATGGCATTGCTAAGGAGGCACCAGGAGGAAGAAAAAGCAGACAGTGCCAATGGGGGTCTGCCAAAGTGGAGTATTGTTGCACAGAGCAGGTCATATAACCTCTTTTTCATTTTAGCAAAAATAAAAAAACAAAACAAATATCCTTTAGTATCACTTTAAATTTCATTACCTGTGTGATCAGCAGATCAGAGCAGCTGAACTCTAAGATGCAGCACAGACTCCAGACAAGTCTTGCAGTTTTGTTGCAGGTTCTTTTCCCTATTGAGTACACAGCAGCAGCTCCACAATCGTACAACACAATAACCAGGCAGTGTCTTTTTGAAGTTTAATGCTGCTTGAACTTGCTTGAGGTGTAGGGTGAACCTTGGGATACTCTGAATTTAGTACAAAGATTAGCAGAGAGATCTCTCTGGTTATAACTCGATTCTTCATGGTGTGCCCCTTTTGGACTAGCAGTAAATGAGCATACAGGTCGGGGGACATCAGATTGCAGCAGCAGTCCTAAGCCAGCAACTCTGGAACAGTCCTAAGCAGGGGCAGACTGACAACTCATGGGGCCCCCGGGCAATACGGGATCATGGGGCCCCTGTGTCCTTGCCCAAACTCAAAAAAGCCTATGAAAAAGGTGCCAGGGGCATCTCATGGGGCCCCCTACTGACCCCGGGCCCTCGGGCAGTGCCCAAGTTTCCAAATGGTCAGTCCACCCCTGGTCCTAAGCCAGCAACTCTGGAACAGTCACTCAAAGGGTCACTAGGATCTCTCTCTCTCAGGCCTTTACTCACTGTGTCCCTGTGTACTTGGATGACTCAGGCCAGATCCTCAGTGGACTCCCTCCAACTGACTTCAGTAACTTTAGAGGTAGTCTCCCCAGCTCTTCCTGAGCTGGGACCTGGATGAGCTCTTTTGAGAAAAACAGGATCCCCAGCTCTCCCTGAGCTGTGACCCCATTGGAACTCCTGTACACTTCAGCTAATCTGCCCAGAAGGGCAGCAGGTCTTAGGCATGGTCTTCTTCTCCAGGACAAGAACCCTGCTGTTCCAGGCCACAGTCTATTTATACACACCTCAGCCCCTTACTGGTCATTCTTTCCTCCAGGAATTTGCTGAGGCTGTATGAATGTGCAGGTCCAGGGCATTTAGTACATCTCTGCAATACATGTAAATTTTACCACATTTTGTCTATTTAAAAAGACTACAAATACAGAAAAATACCTGTTGATCTGCCAGTGAGCTCATAACTTTCTGGGCTAACAACCTGCTTCTGCTGCATTAAAATCCCAAGTGACACTGTCAAGAGTTCTCCTTTCCTGAACTACAGAACTCCACCTATCTCAATCCCTCTTTATCGTTTTCAACATGTTTTGGATTTCCCATCACTTTCTGTGGTGGAGTCTGTGGTCACCAGTATTGATAGGACACCAGTATTGGGTTCAGTCCAAAGCAGGGTCGAACTGACAACTCATGGGGCCCCCGGGGCAATAGGGGATCATGGGGCCCCTGTATCCTTGCCCAAACTCAAAAAAGCCTATGAAAAAGGTTCCAGGGGCATCTCATGGGGCCCCCTACTGACCCCGGGCCCTCGGGCAGTGCCCGAGTTTCCAAATGGTCAGTCCGCCCCTAGTCCAAAGTTAAGTCCTTTCCGAACCCAGAGATTTAGGAAGAGGTGTCATCAGCCTGTATAGCATTCCCATATAAGACTCTCCAGTTGAGGTTTATAGGTATATAATTGATTATGAATGGGGTTGGCAACCCAGATATAGCCACTACAGGGAGATCCTGTCTGTATACAAAGTATAAATTATGACAATTTACACAGCAGACTAGCTCCTTTACAGTAATAACTTGAAATGCATGTTCACAAGGAACACATTCCATTTAAGTGGCTGTACAGTTTTGTCTTTTCATTTAAAGGTTCACCACACTGACTGGTAGTAGGGTTCCTGCTCAGAACTATGGCTGATTAGGTTTTCCAGCATAGGAATTCTTACACTGTTACGCATCAGCTCCAATAAATCTTATCTAGCGAAAGTGAGGCTGGCAGTCCACACAATTACAGGTAGATGTATCATCTCTCAATACATTTATAAGAATCTACTGGTTCATAGCTGACCCTTGCAGTAGGACAACCTCCACAGTGCATGGGTTAGAGGCTCCTATGGCTATACAACTGCTTCACTAGGCCTTGTTTACACTGGCATTACACTCTGAAGAGTGATTCAATGCAGATTGAATTTGACAAATGGGAGGAGGAATTATATTGCCTCCTCACCGCTTGTTTTAACCCCTTAAACACCACATCCATTGCACATGGTTGTGGTGTGCCCTCATTCAGTTGAATAGGTTGCAGGCAGGACTGCCCAACGAAAAAGAGAACAGAGGAAACTTTTGCTGTGTCATGATGCAAATGCAATGGTTAGAGGGTGGTAAAAACATGCCTCAACCACATGTTTGTAGGGCAGTTGGGTGACAATTTCTCCATGTTCCCCCTCCTCCTTGGGTGCCAAATGTGGGTCACATAGGGGCCTATCCCGGAGTGGATTTTTCTGAGCTATGCTAGGCACCTTGAATAGGGTCACTGCTGTACACATGGGATACCTTTGCTTGAACAGATGACTGAAGTCTAATAAACTCTGTTGATGCTAGTATACACCACCATGGTTGCTTTTGCATTTAGGAGGGACACGCAGAGCCAATGCCCTCTCCACCTCTCCAGCGTATCTCTGCTACTTCACTCCCAGTAATGGAATGGGGTTTCGTCATGCACCTAGCACAGATTCCATGCATGCATTCACTTTACCCTTCCTCTTCTGTACCTGTGCACAGGCTGAGGACCTCTGCAGTGCTGATCTACTCCCATTACTTCCAAAACTAATATGAGAAATAAAAGCAAATTCAACTTTGTTATTTTCTCGTATTTTGTTTTTTTGTATTTTATTCAGAGCACGACTTATTTTGATTTTTCCATCCCCCAGATAATTCTGGCTTGTTATTACTCTGAGAGGATAATTGTATGCATTTCAGCTATAGAAGTGTTCATGGAGGGTACACTATTTATTTATTTTATTTATTTATTTATTCACTTATTTATTTATTATTTTCCTTTTATTTATTTGTTTATATTTGTTACTTATTTATTCATTTGTTTATGAGTGTACACATATTTTTGTTAAATATATACTTGTTGTTTGGTAAAGTATATACCATCTGTTATTGAAGGTAATGCACTATGTAGTTTTTTCATTTGTTTGAGGTACACACTTTATCTGGATTTATGTGGAGGTGCAAGTTGGACACGAAAGAGTAATTTTTGTGGACTTTATTTTGAATTACAAACATTGACTGGCACAAAAAAGTTTTTTTTTTAACTTAATTTAATTTAATTCACTTTCAGGGGTGAAAATGTGACTTTTTTTGGATTTTTGTGGGACTTTGTTGGATTTACACAGTTTTAAGCGTATTATAATTAACAATATTTTTTATTTATTTGTGGATACCGAATTTATATATTATCTCTGAGATGTGGCTGGAGATTACAGGCTCTGTATTTTTTGTGTCCCCATTCCCATGCAGGCTGTGTCTTGTGGGACAACATTGGTGTAATGGGGCAGACGAGAAGAACTTCCCCTTTTAGTTGAAATTCTGCTTTAAGAACTTCTCTTCAGCTTCTGCCCTGCAAACTATTCTCCAGCACACTTCCCAGTGCTGTGGTCCTCTGGGGAAGGAAAATGTTATTGCATATGTGCCCAGGCTCTCTCTGAAATTCTGGAAGATTTATCCCCACTTCACACATGTGCGTTTTGTGATGTGATTTTAGAGTCTGAATTCATATGTCAAACTGAATGTCTTCCTATTGAGGGTATTCAGATACATATGGTGAAGCCTCAGTGCGCTTCTGAAGAAGGTTCCTGTGCGACTTTTGAAGAGAGAGAGAGAGAGAGAGAGAGAGAGAGAGAGACATGTTTGCAACATCTTTTGCATCATGCTAAAATAAAAAGTGTTCCAGCATGCAATTTTGAAAAATATATTTATGGCACTTGCACACGTTTTTCAAGCAAACCATTTTTCATGAATCTATAGCAAAGTTTCTTACCTGTCCGTACCAACACTTCCTATTGAAGGCTGACAGTGCTAAGCCACTTTCTTACAATTAGTAAAAATGTCAGCCTGCTGTAAGCACTCCATTAGTTGGAAGTTGGGTTGCCTGTCATGTCTACCAGATAGGCAGGCCAAAGGCCAACTGAAGTAGATAACAAGTAAAAACTGACAACTCTACTGCTAATTGCAAGGCAGTGGTAGTGATCATAAAATACAGGTGATATGTGGGATATGTGTAGGTGGGGCTTAGAACGCCCTAGTGGGGACAATATGGAACTGCACTCTCTAATGCCTAAACTTAGGCTGGCCATACACTATACAATTTTCTATCCAATTTATGCCTAATTTCCTTTAGATTTACCTTAAGCTATGTAGTGCAAGGGCCTGCCAAATTGGATACAATTGAAAGTGTTGTTTAGGTTAGACCTCGTATTATATGGTTTTTGGTAAATCTAAAGCAAAATTCTCAAGTAAATTGAATAATATATGGCCAGCCTTAGGGAGGGAGCTGCAGTCATGTGAAATCAACATTAAGGCAGATCTCTCGAATTTGGAAGCAAGCAGCACTTGTACAGTTCATGCTCTGTAACCCGTGGCCAAGCTTGTTGCACTGTTGGCACTAAACACTTCTGAACACAGCTTCTTGTTAGAGAACACCACTTCCCACTCGTGCAGCATTGAAGGACTGATACAGCAGAGCCTGAACCGGTCTCCACTAACACTCCCAGTGACATGCCCAACTGTTGCTACTGGATACCGGAAATGCACTTTGCTGTAACTACATGCTTGCTCTCCTCCTGAGGCCTCGCTACTTCCATGGATGTCCTCCCAGAACGCACCACCTGCGCGTCCCCAGCGGAGAGCACCCAGCGCTGTCAGTTATCTCTGTGTCCTACGGACACAGGTGATCACGTATCACAGCGGCCTTTTACAACGTGAACAGCTTTGTC